TTTCTGCTAAGGTCTAATCGTTCTTTCTGCCTCCTGCTATCAAACCCCAAAGCCTTGTTCAGCCTTCGACACCTCCCGCTGCTCAGAGCAACAGCAAAAGGAAAAACATAACTGTTGAAATTGCCTCGATCAGCCCTGTGAAGGCTTAATGACTCACTAAATAGCCTATAACAACAAAGCCATTTAGAAAAACGGATGAATAAATCTTTTTTGATGAAAATGAAGAAACCCTATTGCTGGTGACTGAGAAAGCAGTTGAGGCTTTTTAGCTGGGTAAAAGAAAAAGAAAAGTTTCTTTCACACGCTTCAGTCCAGCCCAGAATGGGGGTCCTTCTAGTCTTAAGTTAGATGAAGTAGAGATCAGAGCAGAGATCAGCAGGAGACAGACTTTGGGTAAAAGAAGAAACCCGAAGGCAGCAAGGGCTGTAATTTCATTTATTCCACTACATCGCGGGTCTGGCGGTGCGTTTATGGCTCTGCGTCTTATCAATATTTCACTTGTGCCACTCAAAAACGTCCGTACAGCCTCCATCTGGCAAACATCTGGCTCATCTGCTGGCGCTCTCGCTTCTCTCACCCCGCATTTTATCGTCTTTCGCAGTAAACACCTACAGTCCATATGCAGCCCGCTTTTCGCAGCACATGTTTGGCTCTGCTCGGAGCTAGAATCCAATCCTGTGTTTCACAGTCTGACCGTAAACGAGCAGCAGAGAGAAGCGCATCCAAGACATGAGTAAGAAACCGGTCATTCAAACTACATTTACAGGCAGGCAGGGGTGCACGCTGTTTCAGAGGGCACCCTCTCTCTGCTTAGAGAACATTTCTTGCCAAAAAGAAATATGTCAAGATTAAATCGTGAATGGTTTCACCAACAGCTGTTGATCGATCATGGGCTGTGAATAAAAGCCAAAACTGAGAGAGATAAAGGTGCCGCAACAAATCCTCTCCCTGACCCAGGTGTCTGAGGAATGTTTTGACACCCCACCCTCCCTAATCCCTATTCCATGCAATATCTTTCTAGTTTATTTATTGCAAACTTTCCAGATCATTTGAGAAGCACCCTATAATAAATTGCCTGTATTGATCTTTTATGGCTGGAAGCTTTGGGCAGGATTCAGACAGCCGTTCCAGCGAGCGGCATGTGAACTCCAGCATAGTTTTACACCCAGCATTTAAAGTGCAGCATTGTCTCGAGGGTGGCTCTTCTCTGTCGTTGTAGCTGCCCTGATGACTGAAGCACATTTTCTTATTGTCACATTGTTTGGCTCACATAATGTCACACAGTGCTGTCGGACTGTGATTTACAGCCCAAGTGTTGTGTCACTGTAACACTGTGGTTTGTTGCAGAAATTTCAACTGAATTTCTTGCCTGAAAAAGTTTAGCAAGAAAGCCGTGTGAGCAGCTTCTTACAACATCTAAATGTAAAAATTTATCACCGTGTGCCAGATTTATGTTCAACTGGATTATTGAAGTGAAAAAGAACATTTCTTGATTGATTATTGAAGAGAAATCAAGACATTTTCTGGACTACATACACCCATGGGACACTTCATTAGTTACACCTTGCTAGTACTGTGTTGGACCCCTTTTTGCCTTAAGTTTTCATGGCAAAGCTTCAACAAGGTGCTGGAAAGATTCCTCAGAGGTTCTGCTCCTAACTCACATGACAGCGTCACACGGTGGCTGCAGATTTGTCAGCTGCACATCCATAATGAGAATCTCCTGTTCCACCACATCCCACAGGTGCTCTATTGGACGGGGATTTGGTGACTGTGGAGGCCATTTGAGGACAGTGAACTCATTGTTGTGTTCAGCAAACTGGTTTGAGATGATATGAGCTTTGTTACGTGGCACCTTATCCTGCTGGATGCAGCCATCAGAAGTAATAGTTGTGCTTCCACTCCAATAAAGAGGAGATGATGTATGCAGTGTTTAAACTTTCAAATTTCAAGAGAAACTTATTCTTGCATAAAGTCTTACAGTTTATATCCAAGAACAGTTTCACTTGGATAAAGTAGCTCCAGTTTATTCTAAATGCTGTTTAAAAATCTTTAAAAAAGAGTGGAATCTAACATCCTGAGTGAACTTATTGTTTTGATTCCCCTGCACTTAAGCACTGAAGAAGTGAAGTGAAAGCAAATCAGTCACTGGAGACTAATTTTACCACGCTTGCTGATGCTTGAAGTAAACTCTGGCCCCTCTTCAGACATGATCCGGATGTATCTGGAAACAAATACTCAAGCCCGAGTAGGGTCACTGTCACTTTCACAAACTTTCTCCTCTTTTCTTTCACAAAGGAATTAGTTAGAAACTCTTTTTAATCCTGACTAATCTTAGCTGTTACTCTGGGGTCGTGTTTGATTGACAGCCTCTGACACTTACAGGGGCACAGCTATAGTTTACAGCTTTGTAAAGACACAGGACAAAGCAGTCTATCCCACTGTGCTTCTGGCTGAGGACATGATACTGTGGAGCCGGCTGACCCCTGGTAGTCATAATATCAGCAAGCGAGTCTGAAACTAAGGCGCGGGGAGGCCATGCTGAGACTGCCAAAGCGCTCAGCTGGTGCTCGAGGGGGAAAAAACTGGGAGAGAAAACAAGGCTTTGGTTTCACATTTGACCAGACTATAATTAGAGAGAGAAAAAGATTAGAATATGGCCGACGGTGCCACAAGACACCCACACACCCCGCTATCATGCATACACACACATCCACTCATTTGTGGCCCTTGCAAACCCAGTGGGCTGGCCACTAATCCTGCAGCACATTTACAATCTGTAACGACAACCTGATACCCCCGGCAGGCCACGGCGAGCACACACGTCTCTTTATGCTGCTCATGTACGTGTCAGTAGCAACAGCTGCATCTAAAACCCTCCTTGTCTGTCTCACCTGGCCGCAGATCAGCTGATTGGTTTTCCCATTCCCTCGGTGAGGAGCAGAGACGGGCATAATATGTGATCTGTGGCCAGTGAGGGCCTGTGAAAAGTCAGGATAGAAAACCCCCTACGGTGCTCTGGCGAGTTCACCCATATCGGATCATCAGCCTGCCGCATGCTCCAGCACGGTCTCTGGCCCCATCTCCCCTGACGGTCCTCGCTGTGTCAATGAACAGAGGTGGAGTATTGAAGACATCCGCAGTATGTCAGTGATACTGAACCGCGGGCCATTAGCAGCTATAGAGACACATCCAGCCGGCTGTCCAAGCCTAATCTGTCTCCGCTAAAAGCCTCAGAAATGCAACCTTATACGGCGCCTATGGGAATATATGTTTCCAATCGCTCTCCTCAGGAATGAATACCTGGCATATGTTGCTATTATACTTTTTCCCCACTTCTTGTGTCCACTCGGTGTACAGTAAACACAAGGGGCTGTTTCAAGGCGAGGCTTGAGAACAGGCCTCGTTTTCTCAGACTCACAGATTCCACAAGGGGCTCCTACATCATGCTGTCATATTGGAGCTAATGAAAATCGTATTCTACGCAGGGATCCTCTTAGCGCTGCAAAAGGCACATGCTAACCAGGGGGATTAGTCCTGTAATGCTAGGGGACTTTAATTTCAGCTCCAGCATAAGTCATTGCTGCTGAGTACTAACATTGATATATGGCTTAGGAGTGACTAGCATGTGTCAGGAGAGCTTTCTGCTCAGGCGGGTGCCTTGCGGACGAACTCAGTTGAATCTCACAAGATGCTGGGGATGATTAAGGCTGACATGATGAGATCATGTAAACAAAACCAGAGCCTGTGTGCATCTTTTTGACGGTCCAGCCTGAGCACTTTTTCTTCAGCTGTGGCCTTGTTGAGTTGCCCAACTTTTCACCACTTGTCATCAGGTATTGCTGTATTCACAACTCTTTAGGGAAACGCATCATCGGTGAACATGATGGGTAGAGACTCCCCAAACAAATCAATAAATAACTTCCTGCACACTTAAACAGCTGCTCCTGGTGTACCCTTTAGCAAAGCACTGCTTCAGGGGATCTGAATGTTAAATGTGAAGAACAGCACAAACCAGGCAGCTGCAGAGAGCATGCATGCTCAGTGTATCTTCATTAGGCAAATACATGATTTGAAAGGTCAAGACCAGTAGTCACACTTTGTATGATGTTGCCAGGGGAATCATCTCTTCATGTAAATGTGCAGAACAATCATTACAGCCAATAATAAACCAAGTATGGTGGCATTATTGCAGCAACATAAAACCTGCCCTCACTCTTGATTATAAAGACAAATATTCCAAAAAGTCTTGCTTTTTTTTCAGTCATGTATGCCAAATGTGGTTCAGGATTTGACACTAAAATATTCCTCAGATAACATTTGCACAGTTGGTTTTTTTTCTTTATTATGGAATCAGGGACTTAACCTTGAAGGTTTGGGCCTGGTAAAAATCCCAGTGGGGTTTATAAATATTGTTGCAGGTGAAAAAATAAAACTGACGCTTTACCTGCCTGAATAAAGGCTCCCACATTAAACCGCAGACAGCAGTTACAGTAATGTCACCAACTGATTAGTAAAATCCTAGTATGAAGAAACTAGATGTTTTCACTATAGTCATCTTGGTGTTTTGAAACATGTCAAGGGAGTGTTGGATCTGATTGTGAAACCGCATACTTACTGAGTAATGACTTTTCAACCACAAGTCGATAGCCAGTGTGCATATCGTGGACAGTCCTTCTTTCTCGCTCTTAGAATGACCAAAATGTACAGAATGGACTTTATTCATGACCCAAAATGAGTGACTGAGCCCATTAACTCATCAGGAAAGTGTTGAGAGGTTGAGGCTGAGGGTCTTTTTCCCATGGATTTCTATAGGACAGGAAGCCTTATTTCCCCCCACCACCACCCACCAGCTGTATTGCCCCAAGGTGCCCATTAACAAGAATGCAGGTTTCAAAGCCCTTCCGTACTGGCTTCGCTTTTCAGACCCTGCAGCTATGTCTGTCTTTTAACACTCATAAGTATACTCATGGCGGTTATGTTTCTTCTGTTCCTTCCAGATTCTACCGGGGTGACTACCACATCGACGTCTGCATCAATGACTACCTTGACATCTACTGTCCGCACTACATCGGCCCAGTTGCTGATGATCGAGCAGAGCGCTACGTCCTCTACATGGTGAACTACGACGGCTACAGCTCTTGCGACCACAACTCCAAGGGCTTCAAGCGTTGGGAGTGCAACAGGCCTCTGTCGCCAAACGGACCGCTCAAGTTCTCAGAGAAATTCCAGCTCTTTACGCCCTTCTCCTTAGGCTTTGAGTTTCGCCCTGGCAGAGAGTATTATTATATCTGTGAGTATCTGCCTTTTGGATATTGCTAGCATTGCAGTTAGAATTAAATGCTTGATCCGATTTCTTTTTTTTTCTTCTCATTTTTTATGCATCAAATTAGTCCACATTATAGAAATTCAAAGCTCTTAATTTCAGTAATTTTCTACAAACCAAGAAGTTATTATTTTGGTATTGCTGCTAACTCAGTGGTACAGGTATACTATGTGCACACGTCACCACGATAAGAAGCTCCAAGTATGAAACACATCTGTAGACCAGTATGAAAGTTATCTTGGAATTTCGCAAAAAAGACATCAGTGTTCAAATATTGTTTTGCAAGTCCTTGGAACCAGGGCCAAACCAAAACACAAGCCAGAGGGAACAAAGTATCTCTACTGTTGAGGTCTCGCTCGAGGTGCCGTTTGTTGCTGACTGGCTGAGCTCAGTTTTCTCCTCCTCGTGAGAAGACTCGGGGAAAACAAGCAGCTGGGAAGTCATGTTTTCATAAGTGAAGTCAGTGCCCTGCAGGGCCAGAAGACATGGACTAAATGAGACACAGAGCGCTCGATGGTAGATTTGAGGTATTTAGCTGACACTTGTGGTCGGGAAAGACCCTCACTGGTACTGACATTAATAAGGAGTGGAAGAGTCAGTGGAAAGACTGCTTTGGCATCACAACAAAGATAATAAGATAATAGAGAATATGTAGAAAGCTTATTTCCCATACTTCCCCCACAGTGCTAGTGCAGCTTGGCAGCCTTGCCTCCAGACTGAGGTCACTGATTTAACCCGTCAAACAATAATTTCCACTTTTATTGTAAGAAAATATTTCGGAAACTTTAACGACACAGCCAGATCAAAGGTGACACCAGAGATTTTCGAAGGTACTAACTTTGAACATTCCTTTCCTTCCATGGATGTTTCCCCGTGCTAGCATCTGGGATCTTAATATCATCAAGACTGCCGTCCTGCGAGTTCTACCGGATCTCATTCTGTATTTTCATTGCAGTATTTTGTATTGTGATATATTACCCGTCACTGGATGTTTCTGTTGGATCTCTGTGTCAATTGGCTAGTCTGTTTGACTCCATTCTCTTTATTGTTTAGGGAGATTGCGTTGTATTGATAGTGCTGCCAAAGAATTGTTGATGTTGTTGCAGTTCCTCAGATGTGGATAAGAAAAGTTATAGATTGCTTAATTCTGCTGCATTTGTTGAGTTGGCACTGAACTGACAGAAGCCAAGGTTTTCTGCAGATTGATGATGATTGATCATCGAAAGAGAGAGAAGAAAGGCAGAGAGACAGTCCATATGCCCGAAACTGCACAAAGCCATATGGACTTTATCTTGCTGACTCAGATTCATGACTCATCAATCAGATACTTGTTTCTTTTCTTTTTCCTCTGAGAACACAGGGTCTGACCACAGGATTAAATGACAAATGACAGACACCTCCAGGAGAATACCAATGCCCTACAGGCAGAACATCTCATGTGTCTGTAGTCAGGGAAAATGCTGGTTGCAGAGGTACTTCTGCAACATGGAAACATGTAAATCTCAGACCGTGTATAATGAATTGCAGCTGTATGTTTATTTTGTGTCCATCTCTTTAAATATTTCATTATTTGAAATCTGGTGGGTGGATGGATGGACTGTCAAGTTTAGTGATGATGAATGGCAAGTCTCAGATGATGTGGAAAGAATCAATGTCAGGAGATATTTGCGTGTGAGTACACAGAAGCATTAGGCAAGCGACAAGATTTTTGGTACTGGAACTTCTCTGGTTGTGTTTAATAGTCCTCCTTTATTCCCATCAGATTTGAGCAGGCTTTGGCTCGGCGATGCATAGAGCTAAGGAAAAAAATACACGCCATCACTTGACAATGATTTAGCTTTTCATCATTTTAACTTATATGTATTCATATATATTAACCAGTGAGACTGAAAGGGAAGCCTTGTCCTGGAAGACCCTTGGCTGTGCTGGAAGCTTCAAAATACCATTGCCTCCAAAGTGAGCTTTTAACTTCCACAGCATGTCTTTTATCCTGTCTTCCTCCCTTCCGCCCCTCCCTGAGCCTGGTTCTGCCGGAGGTTTCTTCCTGTTAAAAGGGAGTTTTTCCTTCCCACTGTCACCAAAGTGCTTGCTCATAAGGGGTCATATGATTGTTGGGTTTTTCTCTGTATCTATGAAGCGCCTTGAGGCGACTTTTGTTGTGATTTGGCGCTATATAAATAAAATTGAATTGAAAATTGAATTGAATTAACTCTTTCCATTAACTCTTTATGTTTTTCTAATAATCATTCTCTTTTTTTGGAGCAGTTGTGGCTCAGGTGGTAGAGCGGGTCACCTACAGGTTGAAAGGTCGGTGGATTAATCCCTGACACTTCCAGTCTATGTTTTGCAGGATCCTTGGGCGAGATACTGAGCCTTGAGTGCATCAACCAGAGTGTGCGTGTGAATGTTAGACAGGGCACCTTAGCATAAAGGAAGCACTGGATGAATGTGTGCAAGTGGGTAAATGTGAATTGTTGCTCTTATTTTGGTCTCCACCAAGCATGGTTACTTACCTCTCCCTTTAGCATCTAAATGCTTAGAGACCAGTAATATTTCCTGTTGAGTGCTGGGGAAGTAGGGTGCAGTCTGTTTAATAAAGTGCTTTTCTCTGTAACTAAATGTTTGTGCAACTATTGATGGACAAAAGTATTTTTGTGTTTGTATTTACCACAAAGAAAAAGAAAAATATTAGCAGAAAGGAGATTTAAGTTTCTATACAGTGTAATGGTTAACATTAGCTTGACTTTAACCAGCACACCAACAAAACTTTAAGCACGGTAAACAAATATCTTTTTTTTGGTATGTCTACAGACATGTACATTTGACGTTTTTAAGCGATCGTTTGTGTTTGTTAAGTTTCAAATGAGCCGTGAAATCCTGAAATTTATACCAATGACAAAAAAAATATTTCTGTTTATACAAGAAACCCATATTTTTCCAGATGGATCCGGGTTTTCTTCTCCAGATTCCGAAATCCTGGCTGTGTTACATTAAACACTGTTTTATCAGCTGCTGATATCAGTGTCATATTGCATGTTGACATTATCCTGCACCGGCAAAGCCTAACAATAGTTGATAGTTAATACCAGTGTTATACATGTGGTTTGAGAAGCTGTTGTGTGGGCATGTAAATGACATATTGAGAGGAGTGTTCATGCCTGCTCGTCTCAGTGAAGACAGATACTCCTTTGTCCTCCTCTGCAGTGATTGTCACTTGCCTTAGGCTTGGCAAAGGGGGGGTGCATGTCAAATGGATGACACCTGCAGCTGCATGTGGACCAACCCTTCAGGCAGACAGACAGACAGACTCTTAGGGGAAAGCCATCCTGGTGTGAGATCAGTACTATGGCTAGTCCTAGAAGGTCAAAGGTCACCAGTATGATGACGAGGTTTTTGCTGCAAGCTTCTCCTGGCCTCAGAGGGCGGCATGTTTTTCTAATAGAGCCACAGTGGAGCAAGGGAAGCCTGATCCTAATCTCAGGGGATAGAAATCCAATTTTCAGAGGAGACAGTTGAGAGTCTGGCTCTCCCCGCGTGAGAGAGATGACTGTCTCCCTGTAAAGCCCTCCTGCTTCAAACGCCCGAGTCCCGCTCCGTACAGCCAGCGCAGATCTACATTGATAATGACGTGAACCTCGGCAGCACAGGACCCCAACAGTTCTCCTTTAGCTCCTCGCTGCTAACGCAAAAACAAAGGGCTTTGTTCCCCAAGATAAACCACAAGAAAAACATGTCTTCCCAGAGTATTTATTTCAGGATTTGTTTAATTCACCTCAGAGTCACACTGAAGCCCAGCCTTACACGCCATCCCAGTCTGTTTAGAGATATGGAATATGTGCTGCAGGTTTGGACTATGCGATTGCATTGATTCAGTCCACACAGTACATGACTGAATGTGCAAAGCGTGTCTAAGCGCGTGACCGGGAGGTTTACCGTTGTCTCGTCGTCAGATGACCTGACTATAGCTGGGGTCTAGAGTTGCAGGCAGAGCTGGAGTTACAGTCATGGGGAAGCACGGCTGTGTTGCTTGAGGAAAGAAAACCCAGACTGTGACCTCAGTGGTAGACACAAGAGAAAGGAGCAGAGACGGTCGGGTAATTGCATGTGTGTGGTGGAATCTGTGAAGCGATGGTGGCAAGGCAGGAGAGGAGGAGGGTGAGAGAATGCGATGAGAGAGTAACATTGTGACCTAATGCCAGGGAGTAAGAAATAAAAGAAAAGAAAAGATTCTTAAACAGTTTTGCAACTGTACATTAGAAAAAAAGAGATCAAAGGAATAACAAGTTATCTAAAGGACACAAAAAAAAACAATGCATAACAGGATCTACTGATATATGACACCACAGAGTGCATTTTGAGGCGTACACCATGGTCACCTGCCAAAGGTAAATAAGAGCAGCTTTGTTTTATCCCTCCGGAGGCTATTCTTTTTTTCCCTTCCACTTCCTTTTTGTGTATGCCCACTGCTGATTGTCTGACTGATCTGGCTGGTGCTCACATGGAAAGTAGGAAACTTTCACTTTCAACTGAATAGTTTTAATAGCAAAGAGTAGCAATGAGGTTTACAAATTTTAAATTGATGAGAAATTATTTCCAAGCCTGTCTCAACCCAGGGTGTCAGTTACTGTATTTCTATCACATACCTCTGCTGTCACAGAGGGTTTTCTTTGGCTGTGCATTAAGGCACAGCCTGCAGCAATACTGGATGCTGAGAGATAACAGTCCTCCTCTAAAAGCTACAAAGTCCACAAGGTTGAAGGATGACAGTGGAGTAAATCACAAGTGTGTCAGTAAGGAAACCACTTGTAAACTTTGTGTTTTGCATTTTTCACCTTTTTTGCTTTTGTTCACGGGTAGGTTTAGGTACTAAATCCCATTTTTCAGGTTCAGTGAGCGTCTGTGAACACGCTGGAATTATACTTTCCGCGTCTGCGAGTCCGTTGGGTTCTGCTCGGGTTCCAGTGATGTAAATTTTGTCATCTGACAGTACCCATGCCTGACTGTTTTTTCATCCACACAACCACACAATCGGAGGTCAAGGAGATATAACAGGAATGATTACTCGGGTCTTCAGCTGTCCATGTCCATGAAGTATAATCTGGGCTAAGGCTTCACTAACGGACCAGTTCTGTTGTTTAGCTTGAGTTTCATGAACATTGTGTATTCCACACTTGGTTGGTTAGATATTGCTGTAGCTTGCTTCCTGCTGCTTGCTCAAATTGGTCTCAAAGAGGTACCGAAAATCTTCTTGGGATTTGCTTCGGTTAATAGCAGATTGCGACGGTTGCCTGTGGTTTACATTGAAGACGCCAACTCGTCTGCAAAAACTCGCAAACCAACAAACCAACTATTCAGTGAGTGGTAGTCAAACTGTAAAAAATGTGATACAAACCAGAAGCGGAGACTGTTTGGCTTCACAGTAAAAGGCACGCCTCTTAAAATGTGTTTGTTTAAGAAGGCACAGTTTTTACTTTGCCACACACTGTTTGCAACTGATTACATAGCGACAAGTGGGAGCTTCCTGTAATCACTTGCCAATATTTTCCACTAGTGACTGGAGGTTGAGAGTGGGTCACTGAGCAGTCTCTAGGTCTGTGTCACTAAGGCCCAACTATTGCCTAAGCCTGTTGCATCACAATCACCAGAGAACACTCTTTTAAAAAAGGGGCATGGGTGGGAGGATGGGCTGAAATTTACAGGTTTTTGATGAAAGTTATAAAAACTGCTTGTTTGTCACAGGATGACTGCAGTGTCTGCAGATCAAGTGGGTTTAAATTGTGTTTCAGTACTTTATTAAGTCATTGGCAGTACAGTATACGTATAACTTTTAGGTTTTCATTTCAACTTTTTTCAAATGTTTTGTAAAAAAAAAGAAGTAATAATTTAATGGAAAAATAATCAAGAAGTTATTTTAAAGGCTAAAATGATTCTTATCTTAGTTGCAGCTCGAATCCGATAAGATTAAAAGAATGTCTCGGATGGAAAGTTGGGACAATTGTTTTTGTCTGTGTCCTTTCAGACGTTCCGTGCAAGTATGCAGAAATAAACTTTTTATAGCCATTGAGCAAAGTTAGAGTGAGATAACAAAAGCCAAGGAAAGCTAGACATAAGGAGCATGAGCGACATAAAGAGTCAGTCTGGCCAGTCGAGTTCAGTTCACTCAAGTTCTGTTCCAGCCACCGTTGGGCTGTGAGGTAAGTTACTCGATACCCGCGGACGCAGACAGAAGCAGCGTGATTGACAACGTTTCTGTCATTCATTTCCTCCCTCTGCTGCTTCACTTCCAATATTTCTCTCATGGTAAAGTTTAAAGATGATTTTTATCTCCTCTCACAGCCGCGCAGCATCTGATAAAATGCCTTTTTGAAATATGACGCCCCGGGTCATCTGCAACTGGAAATACCGACATGGTTTACTTTTATCAGGAATTTACCGCTGGGCTAGAATCTAGCACATGGAGGGTCTGCGTGACAGGGTAGCCAAGTGTCCGTGGACAAATTGTGGAGACCTCTTTGCACAGATGTACATACAGGAACCACAACATACATACATGCGCACATGCATGCTTATCAAGTCATCTAGGGTGTGTGTGTGTTTGAACGGTCAGGTCAAGAGCAGTTTGAGACACTTGACAGGCAGCAGGAAATGGCAGAGGTCGCTGTATCAAGACATGTGAGGCGAAGCTAGAGAAAGAGAGGAAAAAATATTGTGGGACTAAGATAAGAAGGCAAGACAAAGAAAAGCAAAATATATTATTGAGAAAAGTGCAAACCATTCGTCACAGCTGGTGACACCCTCAGCGCTCTATTAGCTGCTCGGACCCCGGTACTACTTGAAAACTAATTAGTTTTGTTAGCTCGGGAAAACAATCACAGCAAACATGCCCAACCCCAGAAACACACGCAGGCACACACACAAATTCTAATCTTTGTCTTTCACAATCAGGAACCAAAGGAAATGAGATTTCGAAGGTGAGCATAACAGCGTGCCACACATCTGCAGAAATGACTGCCCCTGGCCAAATTAGACTTGGAAATACGAGGGTGACATTGACATAAAATATAGAGCAGAAATGCTTTTACATCAGGATGAGAGGGAAGTTCAGACACCGAGATAAAGCTCTTCAGACCGAATTTAAAGGGAGATAAGAGTGGAATACCTCTGATGGAGAAACAATCGACCTTGTCAGATTGTTCGTTTCTACTGCTCCGCTGATGTTTATGAATGAAGGTAGATTTAGAGAGCTAAGAGGCCGCAAAGTGAATGCGAATAGATAACGTCGAGTGGATTTGGAACAGAAAAGCAATCTTGTAATGTAGCTATGCAATTTTTTTTTACCTTTCTGCTGGCTAGAGAGCTCTCTGTGCCTCCACTGGTCATGGCTGTGGAGCATGTCATAGAAATGGTCTGGTTTTTTTAGGTAATACATCAGGAATACTGCAAACACCACGGTTACCTGTTAATAATTTTCCCTACAATAGGGTTCATTATCAGATAATTAGGCAGTTTGAGCAACTTCATCTGGGACTTGGGTGATTCGGAGTTATTGAAGAATGCAAATGCAGAAGGTCCGACTACAAATAAAGTATCTCGCTGATATGACTAGGCTGAAAATATCAAAGCTTCAAAACTGGTAAAACGTCCTTTTTTAAAGCCAAACTCCTTGAATATTAAACACAAACAGCAATACAAGAAGTATCCAGTTTTTTTTAAAGGGTGATCACAGTTATGACCAGACATTCGATGTCAGCTAAATACAGTTCGATACTAAGAGCAAAGTAAACAGTTTCCATCACATCACACATCCATCGTTACCCATCTCAGTGGTTTAAAGAACTCCAGTCCCTATAATTTTGCAATAGGATGGTTAGATTTGGTTCCACAGATTCAGGTAACAAAGAACTCTTTTCCTGCAGTGCAGTTGCTTTGTTGGTGCAGAACCTTTCTAGCTTTGAGAACCCATTATTGTGCAGCATTACAAGCTTAAGTTGTACAGTATGTCTTTGTGTGCTGCATCTGCCAATCCAGGTAGTCCTTTCCGTTGCCACTAATGTCAGTAGGTCTAAATTTGGACCCAGCAGTTTTTGCGTTGCAATGCTGGTGCTGGATTTGCAAGTGCCACAGTCTTTTATCTATGGTGAAGGTTTTTTGAGCCATTTCTAAATTGGGCAATGATACTTTGGTGGAAGAGGGATACAAGAGGTATGATTGCTTCTAAAAGCACCCATTTACCATCGTTGGATCCCTTTTAGAATCATTATTAAAAATATGCATGTCATGCTTGGCCAGTTTCCACAAAGGCTTTAGCTAAAGACACCACCAAAACATTTTAAAGCATGCTATATTCAAGTTGGAGTTGTCTACTGTTAAATGCAATTACTTAATTTGGATGTGTGGCCTGATATAGGTGTCTGTCTGTGTAGCACATTGGTTATACAGAAACAATAATTATGGGGATTGTAACCATTATAGAGGCTAGGGAGACGACAGCGACGAAACTGCACATAGGTCATGTGCAGATTGGTTGCTAAACAGAAAGGGGAATGCACAAAGATAAACCATCAAAGACATGGATGAGAAGCACAAACAATGGCTGGAGATTTTTTATTTTTCATGCTTGGTTTCACAGCACTACAAAGCTCTTTGTGTTTTGACTTTTATCTTCTATGCTGCAGGTGGCGAGTTAAAGACTCAACAACAGCGCAAACGTGAACAAGTATAGCCCACATTGCCAGTTGTTTCAAATAGTTTTGACTCTGCCCCCAACTTCCAGACACATGTCTGTAAACTGCAAAGCTCTCTTTAGCACCGGCACATCTGAGTGGCTGGTGTTTGGGTTGCGTGTTAGAATGAAGCCTGATAGGGTGCAGCGCTGATAGTCGTGCTCTCAAAGCTGTTTTATTGCAAAGTATAAAGGTATCTTTTGTCAAATTAAGAAGTTCAAGTGTGGTAATAATAGTGACATTTTAACTGACATTTTAATTCAGAATGACATTTCCCCTGATCACGCAGCAGTAGATTAGATCAAGGAAGGTATTTCGATATCTGAAACTGAAGCTGGCATGTTTGAAGTGCCTTTGTTTCTTAACTCCGTGTGATGTGTCCACAGCCTCCATCTCTGACGACAGAGGAAGAAGGAGCTGCCTTCGACTCAAAGTCTTCGTCAGGCCTCAGAGTGAGTCCCAGATTGTTGTGTCTGCTTTGCCTGGTTTTCCATTCTTTATGTGTGCCAGCGTGTGATTGGACTGCGCGCGTGTGACGTTCAACTCGTCTAATCTACACATCTCCTCTCTCCTCTTTGTTTCTCTTAGACAATTGTGTGAAAAACTCTGGGACCGTGGAAGAAGGAGTCAATTTTGATGATAATAGTCACAACTCCCTAGAACCTGGAGGTTGGTGGGAATATACTGTACAGTTCATGATGTTTGTCAGTGTGTGATGGTGACGGAATCATGTGGGATAGATAAAGATTATTCTGAACACGTGGTGATGGACAGATTAACCATCGAGTCAGAGGTTTGGATGACGTTAGTCAATAAAATGATCGACAAAAATTTAGTTGATAGACTGGCATTCAGGTAATCGTGATATACCGAGATTTGGATTTGCATCACTATTTCCCAGTGTGTCACTTAAATACAAAGCTGGAGGATGAAGTAGGTTAGCTATGATTAGCAGAAAAAAATGGCGGCTCCTTTTAATTCAGTTAAATGTAGGTGTCGTGTCTTGACTAGGTGTCGTGACTTCCTGGAGTCTTTGGTGGCTGCAGTATCAGGTGACATAGACATGAAAGAAAAAAACTTGGACATAGGGCAAATGGATAGCTTTTTTAGATGGAGCTTTGAATAGAGTTAAGGTATTAGGTGCAAGGCGTAACTCTAAAATTGCACCCATAACAAGGAACTAGTAAAATCTGATGTTTTTAGCCATCTTCTATGACAGGACATTGTTTTAGCACCCAGCATTTCGAATAAGGCAATAAAAAGCTTAGTTAGCTGTGTGTTAGCAGGCTAGTTAGTTAAGGCATTTGTAAATATAGCAACATTACTCACTGCATACAGGTTAAATATTGTCAAAATTTGCTTTAAGCTTAATTTAATCTTTTAGTGCCGCTTGTCTTATGCCTGGGATCCACTTTTGTCACATGCAAGGCTCGTTGTTTTGTTCATCAGTTTAGAAAAGCTCAGTTCTTTGTTCTTCAACGTGTTTCTAGTGCATCCCACCAAACTGCAGCTTTTAGGCATTTATCAGTTGACTTTTGATAGCAGTTAGACATGACAAGGAGGCCTCTAAACTAAAAAAAAGGCAGTCGAAAACCATAACTTTTTCCTTCTCTGTTGCTGGTGGGACTTTCTTGGGCTCCATCTCTATATAAAACATTTGTAAAGCTCTTTCTGAATCATTTGTTGCCTTTTAAGATATTTCTGTCACAAAAGGGAAAACAGTGGTTGGAGACCATGGCCAAAATTATTGCCACCATTAGCAATGAACTCGCAATCTCATTGACTTTAAAAGACAGACTCAATCTGCTACCAATTTGTGGTTGAATTGGGTCAAGTTACAGGCAATCTGTTGGAGATTAAAATTAGCAATAATCGCAATTTGTTGTCTGCAAACACAGAAATTTGTATTAACCAGAAAACTATATTCAGTCCAACCAGAACCTCATAGATATAAAACAGAAATTCAGAAAATTCTTCATAAATAGAAACGTAACTTCTGCAGGACAGCAATTTAACCACACACGGCTGGTCTGCTAACGATTCATTAGTGGGTCAAATACACCTTCCAACCAGTCGCTGCAGGCCCCCCTCCCTGAGTGTGGTTCTACTGGAGGGCTCTTCCTGTTAAAAGGGAGTTTGTCCTTCCCACTGTCACCAAGCACTTGCTTAAAGGGGCTTGTTTGATTGTTGATGTTTTATGTGCTATTGTAGGGTCTCTGCCTTACAATATAAAGTGCTTTGAGGTGGCTGGGCCATATATAAATGAAACTGTATTAACCTCCTAGGACCTGGCGTCCACATATGTGGACATCCCATTTTGGGTTATTTAGACCAAAATACTCAATTTTGCTCTACAAGGAAGGTCTACCTGATATCCACTTACGAGGACATTATACTGCTACTGTTCTATTGAAATTTTAAACGAATATCCTCATATGTGGCTCTCATTTTTCTTAGAAACAAAAGGTAAAAAAAAATCTGGTAATTCTTTGTTTTTATATTCATTGGTTCCCAATATGCCCAAATATCAAAGAGAAATGAAAAATGCATGCCGTGGAAGAGTGCAGGTCTTAGGAGGTTAAAATACACAATCAAAATTTTGCATGAGGGAGCCTTCTACTCAAAATCATCACACAATTTCAGCTTTCCCTGTTAAGTGTGCATTTTCATCTGTTTGCTCTTAGATGGCGTCAGTCACGAGTCACCAGAGCCAGCAAGAAGGGATGTGAACTCCGCTGGACGGTGCCAGACTTCAGTTCTCCTGCTCAGCTCCACCCTCATACTCCTGGCTGTCATCTTGTCTTTATAGCAGCGAGATGTAGAAATCAGGGATGGACTGTCCTAACTGGAGCACAGGCCGCTCTACCCTGCAACCTCTCCCCTCAAGGAGCACTTTTAAAAGAAAAAATGAAATAAATAAAAAAAATTAAAACAAATCACTGACAATCTCTCGTTACAAAGAGAGAGGAAGGGACTTCGGTGCTGAAGCCTTTGATGTTTTTTGACTTTGTAAAATGCCAACTAGTTTGATTTTTGACTTTCTGGCGAGTGCCGATGGTCGTGGCGCCCCAAGGTGAAAGCGTCTTTTACCTATTCGCCTCTCTACCATTTAAAGTATGCAGATATTACACCTTTTTTTTGCATTTAAAACAAGCACAGAAACATGCTTTTAAACATATAAACACACAGGACACAATGTCTACACAATCAGTACACTTTTTAACGCGAATGGCAAAGAAGCACAGCAGGACCCCTCTGAAGTTTACAGATGAACTCTGTTTTTTGTTTTGTTTTTTACATTACATAACCTCCAACATGTAACATGATTAAATCTCACTTCAACGTGGAAGAAGATCCTGGAGCGGCACATCGGCAAAAAGGAAAACAAAGAAAGATGCTATTTGTTGGAGACTGTTGGTACAGGCGTGGAGGTACGGGGCGGGCCTTTGATGGATTAACCTCTCTCTCAGGTTAAAAAGGATGCATTGTCTCAGACTGTGGAGGACCCTTTATGAGAGATTTAAAAAAAGGAAAAAGTTAAAGAAGCACTCATCTTTTAGTGTTTGGATAGGAGGCAATTTTAATGGTTGATTAATGTATGTGTTTGTTTTATTTTTTAATAATTCACATAACTCAATTGTAGCAGCCAACACGGGTGTACAGTAAAATATTTGAATGGCGCGTAGACAACGATACGGTTTTTTGCCTGGCGAAATGTATTTTCCTATTTATTGTGAAGTCCTTGTGCTTTTTTCTGTTCTGGTTCAGTCTGTAAGTACAGTAGAAAGGCAATAAAAAACAAACACCCTTACCCGTTAAGTTAGTTTATATTACCCACAGTTTATTTGATACCATTAAACAAAAAAACAAAAAAAACAACCACACAGTTTTACGTATCTGTTTGGACTGCTCGCTGATGATGGTTTTTAATTGTTTTTAACAAAGTCCGGGAAGAAGAGGGAAAAAAAAAGTCTGATGTGCTATCAGGGTGTAGAAATCGTAGAATATTTGTGTTTGAAATGTCATTAAATGAATGTCACAAATGTAGTTTTACTGTTACACTATTGTTTTTGTGAATCACTGTCATAACACAAACTATTGTAAATAGAAGGCAAAGTTCCTACAAAGTTCAGGGATGTGTCCATGCCTAACATGAGGTCCATTTTTTCTTTGTTTCTAAATCAGGGAGAATTCTCTTCCCTAAAATAAAGTAGAAATTTTATGTGGCGAAAAAAGTTTCAGTGAGATGGTGGGCGAATTACAAAGCAGGTGGAAGAAGTGTGCGTAGGATGGTCGGGACTGTGATTCATTTACCCTCTTTGATGTCGTGTAAAGTGGCGTCTGTACAGAAAATACACCGGGGGCACCCTCGTACCAGTTATTTCTGGAATGAAAAAATCGACCACCAGGGGAGATGGAATAAACACGAGGTGGTGTCCTGTTCTCTTTGGGCAAACTGAAACTGACCTGAGAGAAGGGGGGAAAGAGACGAAGAGGGCAAGATGTGAAGAACTGTAGTGCCCCTGCTGAGATCAATAATGCTCTTCTATTTTCTCCTCATGTGGCAGGAACATGTGGTAAACGGATCCTACTGTCACATTCACTCAGCGCCAAATAACACAGCCTTGCTAATGTCACTGCTAAAGAACAACACCTGTACTGCCTGCTTGCTGGAAGCACGGGAGTGTTAGGGCCACTTTGGGTTAAAATAAACCAAGTTAGGGAAAGAAACTGAAGCTTTGGTAAGAAAAGATAGTAATTACGTAGCATATTTTTTAGGTTCAAAGATGCAAATAAAAGAGATGCAAATATTTTATTTGACTGGCTCCTGTGCTAAATATACATCTAGATCAGGGGTGGGCCCCTGGCCCATTCTGGCCCGTGGCAAAGGAAACTAAATGGAAGGTTAAGTGTATTTTTACATGTTTTACAGCTTTTTCTATTGATAAAGACCCCCCCCCCTCTCCCACATACACACACACACTCACACTATAACATACAACAATAGACAAAATATAAATGACAGAAAAGTTCCTGTTTTCCACAAACTACTTTAAAATTTTCATTTTTTGTCCAGTCCACAGTAAAAGGAAAAAAAAGACATTTTCTATTAATTAACAAAAACCTTTTCAATAATTTTACACATATAATGTAGTTTCACTGGTCCCCCCCACTTGAGTTGCCCTGGCTTAGAGATAGACTGCCCAGATTTATCTTGAATATAATGGAACTCAACTATGTTATCCTCAAAAGGCGTCAAAAATATACATTTAAAAAACTTGGCAGAAATTCTTTGCAAACCTTCTTTTGAGCAGCAACTATTTTTTCAAATTACAACAGCCAGTTAAAGAATGCATGCAGTTAGCTAACATCAGATTCATCTGAGGCAGGTATGCCATGTCACGAGCACGTAATAAGATGTCACTTGCTTGCTAGGTGGTGTTTGTAGAAAGAAAATACTTCTTGCATAAAGTTTTTATTAAATAACCAGAAAGAGATACCTCTGGAGGTTTTCAAACATATACTTTTGGGACTTTTGTTTTAGTTCTGTTATAAATATGTGTATCACTAATATGTTGAAAAAGTTGGGCGACTGGGGTAATGATTTCAGTCTACAAGCATAAGTAGTGTAAGTAGTTAAATCTGGCCCTAACACTCCATTATAGTGCAGGACACCTGTGGCATATAGAAGAAAAACAACAGTGTGTAACTTGTTGCATAGTTTATAAGTTGCTCCCTTAAATACCGAAGACAAGACCAAAAAAAATTAATAGCTTTGAGTTTTCAATTTGATCCTCTGTTCCTGGCAGATACAAGGACCACTCTTTCAGAATGGCTGGTAAACTGAAGCTGATGTTTAAAACTGGTGGAGTGTCCCTTTAAATTATAACTTATTTAATTTATAATTACTTCTGTGCACGACTTCTGTGCTAAGACAACCATATTAGGGTTATCCACCCTCTATGATATCATACAGAACCAAAAGAGGAAAAACTCATCTGAAACAGTGTTTAGAGCAATCTGAAGCCTGAGCTTTGGCCTCACGTGGATTACTTGTACATACTTATGTCATTATTTGAATCTTTAGCCATGCTTAACATGAGCACCCAACATTGTAATAGTTTATATGCATGACAGAAATGAAGAAAAAGCATATTAGGTCTTATTAAAAACTAAGCTAAGAACTTGAGACAGACAAGAATAGAGTATAAAAGCATTATTTTCAGGAGATTCAGGAAATTAATAGTTTGAGGTGAAAGGTTATTAATATAGCGGCACAACAAGTACGCTGCGCGTCTGAATTAGTTAACAGATTTCTTTTCTGTCATTTTCTTCAAGAGCTTAGTAAGATTTAAATAACATTTTCCTCCTTGGTCACAGCTTGGCCACTTGCCTCTCCATGAACATCAGTCCTGTTTTTTAAAGCCTGGCCAACATTAAAAGTCCACTATCATTGAAATTATCGCCTCCTGCCACACCATGTTGAGAAACCCCCCCCGAAACAATCTGTTTGTTTTGTGGATACTGTGTATCCAACAGTTAACGTGTTATAACACACAGTGTTAGATACTTCTTTTTTCTCGTCCCACACCTCTTTTAAAGGGCGATTTACCTGACATATTAACGTTCTTTGGGAAGAAAAATGTTTGATACAAAAAAATGCAAACTTTCATTTTATATGTCTTTTATATGAAGCAAGAAAAACAAACAAGGATCATCATTGCACCCACTATCTGTAAAATATGTTTGTGCAAATGTGGCACATATCGAACATGCAGTACGGTTACAATCATGACTCAAATGGCCTGACAAGAGTACAAATGGATGTCCAAGAGCTCGAAGAATTTGTGTTTCCTTTTGTTTTCTTAAACCACTCTTGTTTTTGTTTTTTGTTTTAAATTGTTGCATCCAAAGTGTCTTTAAAGGTCCAGGATGTTCTTTATTTCCGTTTGCTTATCTACACCTCCAGCTGTTTCTGACATGTAACAACAATAATCAGTGTAAAAGCTCAATGTGTTAGTGGCAGAAGAAGACAGTCCCACTCAAATGCTGATGTTTCGTGTGTTTTTGAGCAAACTGTGCTGCGAGGAGGGCGGGTAACATGCTCTAACCTGATTTTGTTATAATGTAGCTTCAAGCTAACACCACTGTTTCTGTTTGCAGCATCTGTTTCCCATCCTCTGTATCTGAAATACAGATGTGCTTTTTTTCTTCTGTTGGTCCATCTAGCAGTGGGAAGCTTTTTGTTAGCCACAACTGTGTTTTCCCCTCCCCCAAGTAGACGTGGATGTGCCACCAAACTGCACATTTCTTTAAAACATTGTAGTAACTGTACCTTGTGCCTATACAAGTCCCATCCTCTCCTGTACTCATCTAAACTATTCTAATGTCTGTTTCCTGCTCAGTCCTTCACTAGATTTTTCTACAAAACTACAAAAAAAAGCAATTTCTTTGTAAATACACGTGTTGGAGCAGCTATGACTAACTAAAACAAAAAAGATTTAATAAATATTTCTTTGTCGTTGTAATTATCGTGTCTGATTTGTTTTATTAATCGTTATGGAAATGAGTGACAGCTTGTGAAACAGAAAGAACATCAAAAAGGCGTGAAAGCTTCGTCGCGGTAGCGCGAGCAAGCACTGGATGTTTGTCTTGGTTGTCGCTCGGTGCATAATCACACAGGCCGAGTCCGGGGGAAGTGGATGAACAGCTGTTTCTCCATAATCTGGAGGTAATTCAGTCTGAAAAAGCACAAAACAGAAACAGCTTCAATTAATCTTGCAGGGAATGTGCAGCGCTTTGGGGAGCTCTGCCAAGAAAACTCCGTCTCACACGCTCTTTTGCTCCTCACTCCGCTCTGCCTCTCCTGCTGTCTGACTTAATTTCTCAATTTCTGTCCTTCTTACCCTCTTTTTGTACCTGTGGTGAGTTTGCAACCTTTAACTGGCTCATTTCATATAATCTAGATCAAGGTTTTTGCCAAATTTAAATAACCTGGAGAGACAATGTAGGCAAGGTGTCTGAAATAAATCTTAACATTTATTTCATGGGAAATGCGTAAATATACCTAAAGGACAGAGTATCTTGATTACCAACATAGATTGCATATAAAAGATGGCTGTAGCTTCTGTGATGTCAGCCACTTGTTCGTAAATCCTGTTATGAAGTGTTTTCACCTTCACTTGGTGTTTTGAAACCAGATGTGAAGAGCGAGGGGCGGCTCGGACTGTGATTGGGTTGTTAGCCCAAGAGCACACCCTGGACAATCCTTCAAACTCTAATAATGACCAGAATTTATAAAACATTGTGTTTTATTCAGTATGGCCTGAAGCTAGAGATTTAACCAATAAACTCATCATGAAAGCATTTGTTGAAGTCACCCTAGACTGAGTATTTCCTAGACTTGGGTAAAAGTTAGGCCTAGGGTTGAGGTTGTCACCAATGATGACTCAGATCTTAATTATTAGTTATTATTAGTCTCTGTCTTCCTCCCCTCACCCCCAACTGGTTGCGGCCGCCCCTCCCTGAACCTGGTTCTGCCAGAGGTTTCTTCCTGTTAAAAGGGAGTTTTTCCTTCCTACTGTTGTCAAGTGCTTGCTCAAAGGGGGTTGGTTTGATTGTTGGGGTTTCATTATTCTAGGGTTTTACCTTTACGATATAAAGCACCTTGAGGCAACTGCTGTTGTGATTCGGTGCTATATAAATATAATTGAATTGAATCTTGGAGCAGAAACTTGTACAACCTTCTTTAACCTTAAGTGGGCCATACCAGTGAAACTCCCTTTGCTATCAGTGTAAATGCATTTCACTACACATTTAATCTGTGAGTGCAATTTCAACAGTACGTCTCAGTTTTTCTACATGACAAATGTGTAAAACTACAGATAAAAATTCTGGTAGCTCAGTGGCTAGACAAATGTTTTAGTAGGTATTTCTACAGTACGCAGAGAAAAACAAGAATTTTTCTGTCTTCAGATTGTTCTACTACTATCCATTACATTACCTTGGAAAAGGTGAAGGACTCTATTTTCCTAGGTTTTACAGCTTTTCCTATTGATAGACCTCCTCCACTGCAATTCATACTACACCAAAGCCTTTCAGTGGGTCAGATTGGGGTCTTTGCCAGGCTGATTCTGGCACCCAGGCCTAATGTTTAACACTGCTTCACATGGACAAGGAGCAGTTTAAGGAAGTGCAAGACTAAATTTCTAAAGATAAGAAGTTCTGAGAGACATTTATAATGCAGAAGAGGCAGCGGTGTGCAGTTAGTCAAGCTAAAAACTATCTGAAAGTTGCCTATAAAATATATGTATATACAGTGGGGCAAAAAAGTATTTAGTCAGCCACCGATTGTGCAAGTTCCCCCACCTAAAATGATGACAGAGGTCAGTAATTTGCACCAGAGGTACACTTCAACTGTGAGAGACAGAATGTGAAAAAAAAAATCCATGAATCCACATGGTAGGATTTGTAAAGAATTTATTGTAAATCAGGGTGGAAAATAAGTATTTGGTCAATAACAAAAATACAACTCAATACTTTGTAACATAACCTTTGTTGGCAATAACAGAGGTCAAACGTTTACTATAGGTCTTTACCAGGTTTGCACACACAGTAGCTGGTATTTTGGCCCATTCCTCCATGCAGATCTTCTCGAGAGCAGTGATGTTTTGGGGCTGTCGCCGAGCAACACGGACTTTCAACTCCCGCCACAGATTTTCTATGGGGTTGAGGTCTGGAGACTGGCTAGGCCACTCCAGGACTTTCAAATGCTTCTTACGGAGCCACTCCTTTGTTGCCCGGGCGGTGTGTTTTGGATCATTGTCATGTTGGAAGACCCAGCCTCGTTTCATCTTCAAAGTTCTCACTGATGGAAGGAGGTTTTGGCTCAAAATCTCACGATACATGGCCCCATTCATTCTGTCCTTAACACGGATCAGTCGTCCTGTCCCCTTGGCAGAAAAACAGCCCCATAGCATGATGTTTCCACCCCCATGCTTCACAGTAGGTATGGTGTTCTTGGGATGCAACTCAGTATTCTTCTTCCTCCAAACACGACGAGTTGAGTTTATACCAAAAAGTTCTACTTTGGTTTCATCTGACCACATGACATTCTCCCAATCCTCTGCTGTATCATCCATGTGCTCTCTGGCAAACTTCAGACGGGCCTGGACATGCACTGGCTTCAGCAGCGGAACACGTCTGGCACTGCGGGATTTGATTCCCTGCCGTTGTAGTGTGTTACTGATGGTGACCTTTGTTACTTTGGTCCCAGCTCTCTGCAGGTCATTCACCAGGTCCCCCCGTGTGGTTCTGGGATCTTTGCTCACCGTTCTCATGATCATTTTGACCCCACGGGATGAGATCTTGCGTGGAGCCCCAGATCGAGGGAGATTATCAGTGGTCTTGTATGTCTTCCATTTTCTGATGATTGCTCCCACAGTTGATTTTTTCACACCAAGCTGCTTGCCTATTGTAGATTCACTCTTCCCAGTCTGGTGCAGGTCTACAATACTTTTCCTGGTGTCCTTCGAAAGCTCTTTGGTCTTGGCCATGGCGGAGTTTGGAGTCTGACTGTTTGAGGCTGTGGACAGGTGTCTTTTATACAGATGATGAGTTCAAACAGGTGCCATTCATACAGGTAACGAGTGGGGGACAGAAAAGCTTCTTACAGAAGACGTTACAGGTCTGTGAGAGCCAGAGATTTTCCTTGTTTGAGGTGACCAAATACTTATTTTCCACCCTGATTTACGAATAAATTCTTTACAAATCCTACCATGTGAATTCATGGATTTTTTTTTTTCACATTCTGTCTCTCACAGTTGAAGTGTACCTCTGGTGCAAATTACTGACCTCTGTCATCATTTTAAGTGGGGGAACTTGCACAATCGGTGGCTGACTAAATACTTTTTTGCCCCACGTTGAATATTATATATATATAATTATATATATATTATTATAATATATATTAAGATAGTGCATTCACCTTTGACAGCGTGACAGTTTGCAATTAACCATCTAATATAAAAAGCCACACACAACCATCACCGGGCAGAGGTAAATGACCACAAGCAGGTATATATTTTTAATGTGCACATTTAATGAGACAGATCGTCATAAGCACTTCCCAGTGAGTCTAAAATGGCAGAAAAACTAACAAAGATATTCACTCTGACATTTCACATCTTTTGAATGTTTTTGGCTGGTGCACCTGCACTTCAGACATTACGTGTTTGACCTTTTTGAGATCTTCCCTCCTGTTGTTTTGGCAACTCATCCAACCACTGATTGGCAGACCTCTTCAGATTTGCAGATTTTTGCTGCTCATTGTTATTCAAACGATGATCCACACCTTTACAGACAGGCTGAGACTGGCATTGCTTTAGCCATAATCGCTTTGCAGTATTTTGGCTGTCTCCTGTGGCCTTCGCATTTCCTTACTGACAAACGCCAGATTGTGGGAATGTCTTGAACTGGACTTCCCACTGATATCCAGACTCTTGTTATCTTTGTTTTGGGTATGAGTGAAATATATCTGTGAGACACTCACACTTCCTGTTCTGTCTGCTGTGTGCTTATGAACTGCGATTATAAGTAAGCCGTTATGAATACGGTGTCAGGACATAAACATGCCATCAGGAGTAACCATTCTAGGATTCTGCTTATATTCTAACTCTTATTGTATGATTACAGAGGATAAATCCAAGAACATGTTCACAGTGACGGGATTACCTACAGACAGATTCACTTTATCTGCTCTGCTGTTCCATAGATCAACTTAAGCTGCTAATTATTGTGAGGGATGATTTCTTTACAACTCACTGTATTTCCAATGCACCCCCCCATTTTTTTTGTAATTAACAGCCTTGTTTTAGCATTTTAGCAGTTTTTAAACTGTCACAATGGGGGGAGATTTCAGTGCTGAGCATGAGCTCACAGTTGATCATCTGTGTGTAATCCTGGATTAAGCCACCTGAGAGAGTCAGGGAGGATGGGAAGAGGTTGGTTGAATGGGAAGCCCATTTCTTTAAACCAGTAAAGGCCTAGAAGCTGTTTTCTGTCAGCTTCTCTATCTGCAGCGCACCTCACACATCAGATGCCTTAGCAGGAGGTGGAAGGAATGTCACTTTCATTAACTCAGCTGTGATGATACCCGCTACCTTGAGACAATATCAGCCTCAGGAAGTGGAGTCTGCTAGTTTTTATTTAGTCTTTGAGCACTGGAGATAAAGTGGAGACTGAAATAGCGGCTGCAGTGGGAGCTCTCGTTTTCCGGATAGTCCAAAACTATTTGGACAATGCTCCTTAATATTTGTGGTTCACATAATGTTTTAGACAGTGCTTTACATAATTTGTGTTTTATCCTTTTCTTTTCCATGCTTTGCCTTCCTTATACTTGTTGATACCTTTTAAAACAATCAAACTCTGGCTGTTCTCTGTTACTCAGGCTCTCTTGTGCTGTGTGCATTTGGTGTTGCAGGAGATCCTATGTGGAAATGTGGGGCATTTTACTGTCCTCCAGAAAGCA